TCTTTATAAAAAGTCTCGATAGTGAGTTTGGAATTCTAGAGTGAAGTGCCATTTGGAGACATACTTATATGATCTAGTCTCTCTCGAGAGTGACTAGAATCATACCTTTGATGCAACGTCCTAGGACGAGTAGAGGAATCAACCTGAGGTTGTTCAGCTTATGGTGGAGGAGAGGAAAACCCAAGTTGGGCAATTGAAGCTTGCAAACTTGAAACTAAATTCTCTGGAGAACTGGTAGGAATAGCCATATCTTTTGGTTTTGAACTCTGTAATAATCAAAATTAAGTTAGGAATTACAGTTATAACAAAAATGATTATCGAAATTGAATATCATACTTACTAATTTGGGACCAGGTTCATTGGCAGATTTCTTGTTGGTATTTTCTTAACCAACTTCAGGTTTAGTAATATCAATGATATTTGCGTTTTCCTCGCCATCATGAACTAGATCAGTAGTTTGGTCATCAACCTTCTATTTAAAGATCTCGACATCAACATTTTGTTTTCTAGTCTCAATTTTTTGTTTTTTCCCTCGATGAGAAAGGAAGGGGGTTAACGTCCAGAATTTCTATTTCTTCCATGCTAAACTTGTCTTTTAACCGACACCATTTACTCTTCCTTATAATTTCTTCACACATTAAAAACAATTATTTACATTGTTAATAAACCAGACACATTACTTACAGTTATAAATATAATGATTATCACTTACTTTCTAAATCTTCTTGAGGGTCTTTCGACTTAGAAAGTGATAAGATAGCTTTGCTTTCTAGAGGCCGAGGTAACATTTGAAGTTTTTCTATATATTTCACTTCGAATTGAGTTAATACTAAACCCTTTGTACTGAAAAATCTTAAAGGTTGTGATTGCCAATAAAAAGGAAATCTTGGCTCACCTCTCAAATGGAAAACTATATCCAAACTCGGATCATTACACACGGGACGAACCTTAAAGAATTCCTCTTTAAATTTTTTGTAAGATTGGGTAAAAATTTGAAATAACCTTCCTTTAGAACTTCCACTTAAAGACACCTATCCAAAAGGTGTTTCACCGAGCTTTAATTGGTAGAAATACATAAACCTAGCTAAACTTAACTCAATACCTAGAACCAAGCACAATATCTGAAAAGCCCAAAGAAAACCCCAACTATTTGGGTGGAATTGACTCGGAGCCACATTAATTTTCCTTAAAAATTCACATTCGAAAGGAGTAAAAAGGATCAATATACCTAAGTCCTGAACAAACATCGTTACATATATGCAAGGCAATTGAGACAAATGATTGAGAAATACTCGCTCATCACTAGAACACGGTTCAAATTAGAGAGGTGTAATGCTTCCTAATTGATTTTTTAATAGTTGCAACACTGTTAGTTATGATTATTAATAAATATAATCATGTGTGGCTTCTCATTAACCTCTTTCGCTCCTTACAATGCTCAGAGCTTGAAGGCTTATGTACTAACCTTATTGGCATTATGCCGAGCTTAACCGAGATCAACTCATGATTTAATCTTGGACATTAAGTTTATATGATGACCTAGCTTATTTTATCACACATTCACGCATAATAATGATAACCAAATTGATATTTTACATTGAAGTAGATCTCGGTTAACTCAACCATGATCAACTTGTAAGAGGTAACCATAAAAACTTGTTATATCGAAAAGGGAAACAAACGACAAAAGGAGGTCCCTTCTACAAGTAAATACAAGTCATTTTTAGATGTAAAGGGGAGATTATTTTTTGACTGACTTGATCATCAGAGTCCTTTTTTGCAGGTACCTCTACTGCTCTTGGACAATGAGGACTTCAATCCAACTTCAAAGATCAACGTCAATTGACAATCTCATTGTCTAACCTTATTCTATGAGAACAATAACAACAACAACAACAATAATAATAATAGTTAACTAGTTCGTAGACCCGTCTAATGTATGAGAATTAATATCAATATACTAATTAACATAAATTTATTTTTAAATATATAAATTAATTTTTGAATTTGACGATAAATTATAATGAATAAAGATGAAATGTAAGGCCAAAAAAATTGACATTTTTGGTGAGTAATGAATCTATTAAGTTGAAGAGATAAATGTAACTTAAAGAAAAACACTTGAAATTTTAAGACTCTTCAAATTCCTTAAATTTTTCCTTCTTGATTTTGCTCCTTTAATAACGCATATATAAGAAACAAAAGTTGGTAATTGAAATATTGTTTAAAAAGAAATATTGTATAAAAATAATACAAATTCAAGGAAGAGTAACACTAAAACAAAAAGAGAGGCTTAAGTTCTAATTGCGCTTGCTTATCAATCAAAATAGTTCTCAAATCATTATCATCACATTTATCTTTCATCCTATACATGTCATTTCTCATCAATGAAGTACAAAGCTTTGCTTGGCAATCTTTCTCTTCAACTTTCCATGCTATCCTCAATGGTAGAGGGCCTACAACAAATATAATCCATTATGTATGCACAAGCAACACAACAAACAATCCATTCCCACAAAATTTGTTTCAAATCTCAATGTTTTTCACCTCTTTAATAACATTCGTAATATACTATCCTAGCATTTTCATCTTCATTTCACTAACTATAACCACCAATGTTATACATATATACACACAAAACCAAACTGCAAAAGTAGTACTAATTATAATAATAATCCAATATTGTGATAATCTGAAGTGTGATCTCAGATCACTTAATCCATAAAACCTCAATAACTTGATCAAATAATTTACAACCTCAAATTCAACAAAGCAAATCTCCAAAAATATTAAAAATATTAATAATATAATAAACATTTTTACATAGTAATTTTTTTTTCAAGAATATAGTTTTTGGAGGATAATTTTTTTTATCTCAATTTCTTATAGAAACATTCTCATGAAGGTGAAAATCCTTTTTCAAATTAAAATTTTTTTTATGTATATAAAAAAAACCACAATATCCTTTTTGAAAACAAAAAATCTCTCCCTCCCTCTCTCTCACCCTCTCTTTCGCTCACTCTCCTTCTCTTCCTCTCTCTCCCCTTCTATATATTTCTCTTTCTCCCTCCCTCTCTCTCTCTCACTCTCACTCCTCCTTCCTTCCTCTCTCCCTCACCCTCTTTCTCCTTCTATTTCTTTTTCTCTCTTGTCACTTTCACTCCCCCTCTCTCTTCCTCTCATGTCTTTATTTCTCCCTCTCTTGTATTTCATTATTCTTTTAGCTTTGTCAATTTTAATAATATTAATAAATTCTTTTCTGTTTCTATAGTTTAACGATATTTGTTAATATTTATTTATTTTTTTGAATGAAATAAAATAATATATTTTTATTATTCTTAATTATTATGTAACAGTTGTCTTTGTTTATTTCATATTTTTAACTTTTCAAAAATAATTTAATGTAATATTTGTAATAAGATTTGAGTAAATAAATATGTTTAATGAGTTGATTTTAATAAAGGGTAATTTTGTAAAAAAAATATTTATATACTCATACTATACTATTATAACAAAACATGAAATTGTTTAATTCTTGAAAATCCTATATAAATATTTTTAATAACTTTTATGAGTAATCAAATATATTTTAGTTATGATTCTTAAATATGAAAAACTTTTTCCCTATCAAATGGTTCTTTAACGATAAATCAAGTTAATTGCAAATATTGAAGTATAAAACGAAGTTAATTGCAAATATTGAAGTATAAAATCAAGTCATGTATGTATGGAAGGTAGAATAAGGATATTAGATATGAAATTATCGTATATAATGAATCATTTTCAATTAGCAAGTCATATAGAGTTTGGGGGTAATGAGTAACTCGTAAGGTTTAAGCCTTGTCAGTTCAAGTATAGGATCATTAAAATTTTTAATTATATCATTTATTATATTGTATATTATATATATATATATATATATTAACCTTTTTAATAAACCATTTTGATCCAGTTTCCATAACACTCTTTGTCTTTTTTCATTATATTTTCGTAAATTTAATTTTCAAAATTTTCACATCCTTATATTGATTATCTAAGGCATCCTTTAATTATTAATTGATACCTCATATTTAATTTTAACTATTTTAAAATTTAAACTAGATATATATAAATAAAGACTGTATTTGATACACATTAATATACCATACAAGAAATATAATATAAAATAAGAGGGGGAATTTGTTCACTCTAAGAGTAAGTCTATTTAAACTTATTGTATTCAATAACTCATGTTTTACATTAAATTTCAACGATCCAACCGTTGAATTCAAAATTTTTAATGCATAGATCAAATTTGTAAATTTTAAAAAAAATTGAAAACTATTTGATACTTTGTTTCATTAATTCAAATCAATGTATAAAATGATTTTGTTATTATCCGTCAAGTTGAATTAATGAAATGTAGTATCAAATGATTTTCAAACTTTTTAAAAATTTGCAGACTTGATCGATGCATTAAGAACTTTAATTTCAACGATTGGATTGTTGAAATTTGGTGTAGAACATGAGTTATTAAATGATAGATTTATTCTTAAAATAAATGAATCTCTCTTTATAAAATAATTACTTAAATTATTCAAAACTTTTTGTTCTATTTATTGTTTGGTGATTAAATGAACAATAAATCTAACAATATAAATAAAATAATATTAAATTTATTATAATATTTTTTTAATATTAACTTTCTTAATAAATTATATTATCTTGATGGAAAAAATGACAATCATAATTGTTATAATTATAATAATATAGCTGGTAGTGATGTTAATAATGATAATAATAATAATAATAATAAAAATAAAATAATTGATGACAAAAATAATAAAGAATTATAATAATGATAGTAATAGATAGATGATAATAATGATGATATTAATCACCATAAGTAACTGTTTTACTCCAGTAAAAAAGTATAAAGTGCCTAATTTCTTACTGAATTTAAGCCCTAAGTTAAACAAGCTGTGTAATTGGCTGATTTCTCATCTGAAGACACTAAGGTCCAAGTCTGGTTCCAAATCCTACCATACCCACTCCATCTCACAAGTCACAACCACTACTCAACCCTCGTTCACAAACAAACAACCAACAACAAACGACTCAAACAAAAGACCAAAACGCAAGCACTGTCCAATTCATTTCTGTCGTCGCTTCCATTCTCTAGTCTCCACCCACCCCCACACTCTCTCACTCCATTCCCCCAACATCAAATTTTACAAAATAATAATATAAAAAATAAAAAATAAAAGAAAAATGGCGATTAGTTATTCACCGGTTCGTTGCCGCGTCCCCTCGCCGCATCGCACTTTCGCTTCTGCCTCGATTCTCGCGCCCACCGTCTTCTTCCGCGACGCCGCTCCGAGCCTCAGGCTCGTCTCGGTTCGGTCCCAGGCCCCAGGCTCGGACGGCGTCGCCCAACCCAAGAAACACGCGCGTGCCTCCGTTGGGTTTTCCGCTTCTTCCTCGTCCGTGATTGATTTTCTCACTCTCTGCCACCGCCTCAAGGTACCTTCGTCTCGTGAAATTCGAAAGATCCTTTGGTTCTGTGCTCTTGTGATCGTGAAATTACCGATTTGCCCCTTTTTGTGGAAGTGTGAAAACGAATGATTCTTGTGTTTTGTGAAAATTTGCGAGAGGAGAATGTGATTTAATTCCAATGTGTGGTTATGTGTTTATGTTTACTTGTGGTTGCGTGGGTTGGATTGGTTTAGTTTGTTTCTCGTTAGGTTTAAGAAAATATATTTTCTGTTTAAACTAATGATTGTGACTCTGAGTGTCACGGTTTCGTTTGTTTTATGCTTTTATTAAAAAAAACAACAACTAAGTATTTATGTAATAAGCTTTTATCAAGCTGGTTTTATTAATGATACAATCTATAAAGGGGTTAGAGAAAGGTTATAAACTATTTTGATAAGATCAAATGAACTCTTTTAAGTGTCCCTTTGCATGGAAATGGTGTAAGCAAAAAAGTGTTTATATATTGGTTTAAATGCAAAGGAAAAGCATGCTTTTGTGGGTGATGGTGTGTGTATTGTTGATTTGTAGTGTCATTATATGAGAACGGTGCTTGGGGAATTGACTGCATTTTTTGCTGACAGGGAGTTAGGTCATGCAAAGTAAGAACTGTGTAAACTGTAAACTGTAAAGGCAGAAAGTAAGGATGTGTGCAGTGTTGGTTTAAAGTGAGTTAAGTTTACAGGGTACTTTAATTCAAATAAAGAATAAATACACTTTTATTTTCAATTATTGAGGGGCTGAATACGGCTGATGGGGCGTGTGTTACTATTCTCACCTTAGCATCTGATTCACTAGTCTATTAGCTCACTTATTGCAACTTTCCTGAGTTGACATTTTCTTATTCTTTTATGAACGTGCCTGAGAACTGAGGTAGATGTCTTATAGATATGGAGTAGAAATAGAATGAGAATTCAGTTTTTCTTATTTGGGAGAAAACTACATCTGATTGTGTAAACAAGTATGGAGTCATAGATAAAGAATGTACAATAGGAACTCTCGTCGTTGTTCTGATTTCCAGGCGTTTGAGAGGCTTAGTTCTCTCCCTTCTCTTCTTTTCCCTAATCCCGAAAAGTTCAGAATCAGAGATGAAGAATTTACAATAGGAACTCTCTTTGTTGTTATGATTTCTAGGTGTTTGAGAGGCTTAGTTCTCCCCCTTCTCTTCCTTTTCTGATTCCTGAAGTGTCACATGCGAAGTGACAGAGTAAAATGTTGGTTTATCAAAAATTTAGTTTTGTTGTTATGTTACTCTGTTACTCATATTGCATTAGGGTCTCTCTTTGTGTGTGTGTGTGTGTGTATGTGGTGTCCCAATGTCCTAAGTTTTAGATATTACCCATGTCAATGTCTATGTTATGTATGGTGTTTGTGTCATATCGGGTGTCTGCGTTAGAGTCCATACTTCATAGCTTACTATACATATGGCACCAAATATTGTGTAGACTGTTTGTAATTAGGTTATTCATATTTAAAAAAAATAATGATAAAATATGAATTGAAAATTTGAGGATGTAAACTGGTTCTGCAACACTGAATGAATAATAATATAGTTTCTCTTTGTCATATATGTATGCCTTGTAGACCACAAAAAGGAAAGGATGGGTTAATCATGGGATAAAAGGTGCTGAATCGATTGCTGACCATATGTACCGCATGGCTTTAATGGCGTTGATTGCTGGTGATGTTCCTGGATTGAATAGAGAAAGGTTTCACATTGAAATTCTCTTACATGAATTTTTATGTTGCTTATTTCTGTTGTGGTCTTGATTCTTTGGTTTGTTTTATTGTGGGATGCATCTCTAGATTACATGATGAAGTGAAATTTGAAAGTAGAGTACATTGCTATAGTGTAGTCTTTAGTTGGACATTGAAATCACATTGCTCGTATCATATGTCCCATTTGGTGTAGTTGAAAGGTTTTATTGGAGTCTCTTGTTCATATAGTTTTGGCCTTTCTGTTTTACAATATTATCTTTCTATTATATGCAATTTGTTATTTGTTATATTCAGTTTGGTTTACTTTATTAGCCTTTTTGATAAATATTTAGAATGTCCATGAAGACTACAGTATAAATCAGATGGCTTCTTGCATTTATCCAATGTGAGAAACATTGTATTAACTATTATCATTTCAATGTTATGAGCTTGTTTTGAGGCTTAATTTGGGAATGTGCAGTAAATAGTTTTTTTCCCCAATTGTGGGTGAGATGACAAGGTGACATTCAGTCATGTATTTCTTAGAAAGAACAACTTAAAATTAGAAACAACTCTTGCAGCTAGAGACATTGACTTAAGCAAGGGCCAAATCATTTAACTGCTGGTCCATTCTGGGGCATAATTGTTTGCTTGCCCCTATTCCTGTTATTTCTATTTTCTGGATTTGTGTTTTAGGTGGCCCCCTTGGGTTTTCTCTTTAAACTATTTTTTTCCTGCTTTACAGATGTATTAAAATAGCACTCGTGCATGATATTGCAGAAGGTATCTGTCTATTCCCTCTGATTGAATTGTTTCAGCATTTCCTTACATTAAATCTTAGTCACAAATTTTACATTGGATGAACTGCTAGCTGTATTGGCCTGACATAAAAAATTTCAAATTTCATTCAAAATGATTGGATTATGGCTCGTGTCCTTGAAGGCTGCAGTCATTGGTAGTTTTCACAATGCACTGTAGCAAAGATTATAGAGGATGTGTTCATTTATGTTATATTTCTGCCAGGAATAGCACTTTAAAAGGCTTAATTGATTTTTATAATTCAGTTCTCCACTTTTATGATAACCAATGGATTAATAGATATGTTGAATGTTGCTAGGTAAAACATTGTTACGTATTGACTCTACTTATTAAATTATTGAATAGGATGAAATATCTAATTGGAATACTTGGGTAATGTTTTATTAGAGAAGAGATTATATTAATAAATACCTTTATTAGCGGGCGTTCCAGTTTTGGAACAGCCCATTCCAGGCTACTAAAACTAGCTTATTTGGGCTTTAGGCCTTCTAATGTCATGTCATGTTGTTTCCATGCTTTAGGAGCTCCTTTCCTTGATAATAGACGTCCATTTCATTGCTTTTGTGGGTCCAGAAAAAATTGGGTGTCTACAAAGTGTAAGACACATATCATTTATAAGATGTTGTAAACCAGACGAAATACAATATGTCTCATATACATTAAATATTTATCATTTATTGAGACTAACAACAAAGTTTGCTTTGAATATTTCATTCCTTAACAGATTGAACCAAAAAGCCATCTTGGAGCTCACAAATTTGTTAAAGAGAAGAATCATGTTTTCCATCAAAACCAAAATCTTGAAATCACGGAGAAAAGCATTTAAAGTCACTGTTATAGCTACTCTACACTAACATTGCTTCTACAAGCTATGATGGTTAAAAAATTATTTATATATATATATAAATCAAAATTAGAAATATTTATATGAAAAATATTATATTCTTTTACTTTTCTTTTATTTTTTAAAATTTGTTCATATTTATTTAAAAGAAAAAAAATAAGAGCGGGGGCAAGGACGAGGCGGGGAAACCCG